CGAGTAGAAAATGAACGAGAAATAAACGGAAATAATGAAAAACTTCGGGCCATCAGATTTGATTGTGGCACGGAATTCTTGAATAAAGATATGAAAATCAGGGCAGCTGGTAAAAACATTTCTCTTGAACCAACTATTGGCTATCGACCAGAGGCAAACGGTGTTGCCGAAAGAGCTAACCGTTCGATAATGGAAAGAGCCAATAGTCTACGGTTTCGAGCGGGCCTTGCCGGAGAAATCTGGGAACTCTCATGCAGGGCTGCAATTTATTTAATATACCGATAACCAATTGGTGGGAGATATACAACCCCCTGGACCATGTGGAATAATGAAACTCCTGATATTATTCACTATAGAACTTGGGGATGCGCTGCATATGTCCATATTCCAAAAGAAAAGAGAGGAAAACTAGATAAAAAGTATTTGAAAGGAATCTTTGTGGGCTACAATACAAAATCATCAAAGATTCATCATATATGGCACCTAGAAAAGAAAATACTATGTGAAGCACAATCTGTTGAGTTTGATGAGAATAAGTTTTCCTTTGATACTAAATTGCATCATTTAACAGGAGAAAAATTACTGACCAGTGATAAGTCTGATGATGAGTCTTGGGATGAAATCAATTTACATAATAACTTTATTTTTAATAATGAAACCCTAAACAATAATCAAGAAAAACAACCTCCAAATTTGTTAGAAAATACTGAAATCCACCCTAATAATAATAGTAATAATGTTCGGATTAGGTCCTGGTCAACGATGTCTAGCCTAATTGTGCTATGTTGCAGGCTACTGTTCCAATTATTCATGGGGTCATCATCAGGGTTGTGAGTAGTTTCGGTTTTGGTGTGGGTTGTTAGATTGATACCTAAGCATGTCGCATAGTAGTCAGACATGCGACTCGAGTAGCATATGCACGGTAAACCTCAACCCCAAAATGATGATACGAATCATGCTTTACATGCTACGTCCTGTATGGCTAGCGTGGTTGGAATATGGTGAATTTACCTGTAGATAGATAAAGACGTTGTAGCCCTCTGATAGTTGGGACAAGTCTTCTACAATATTATATCGGAATCAATACTAGCCTCTCATTAAGCAATCTCATGAATTATTTCCAATGTCTGTGATAACAGACATACATCTACAATATCGACAACAAGTTCAAAGTCGATAAAATAATAATGATCAACATCAACATCAAAACCTCAGTTGCCAACAAAAAAATTCTGCCTACTTAAAAAGATAAGAAGGAGAAGCTTTGATTAGGGGAGATAAACGGTCTGGAAGAGTCAGAAAACCATCCGCTAAGGCCGTAGAAATGCAAAATAGCAGACAAGAATCAAATATAGCAATCAAGCTAGCTTTCTTAGCTGCCCAAAATGATGGAATTGACATTCCCAAAACTTTTGATGAAGCATTAAATACTCCGCAAGCAGATAAATAGTTAGAAGCATCCGAGTCAGAAATGCAGTCCCTCATTGCACATGGAATCTTTTCAGGCCCTTTAGACAAAATACCACCTAATAAATCAGCAGTCACAGCAAAAATTGTCTTGGACCTGAAAAGAGGAGAGAATAATGAGATCTTACGATTTAAGGCTCGACTAGTTGCTAGAGGATTTACTAAAAAGTATGGTGTCGACTTTGAAGAAACATTTGCACCTACAATTCGTCTCGATGCTTTTAGAATTATTTTAGCTATTGCAGCTAGAGAGTAGTGGGATATCTACCAAATGGATGTGGTAACCGCATTCTTAACAGGGGAGCTTAATGAAGAAGTTTACATTAAAATGCCGAAGCACATGGTTGAGAGGTTTGGGCAATATGCTCGAGTCTTAAAAAGCTTATACAGACTCAAACAAGCCGCACGGGTATGGTACTTACTGCTCTCTGAATTCCTAGTTTCAATTGGTTTCACTTGTCTTCCAATGGACCAGACAATCTTTAGGAATGATAAAACCAAAGTAGTTATTGGTATACATGTTGATAACCTGATTATTACTGGCCCGATTAATCAGGAGATTGCAAATCTCAAAGAAAATCTTAATAAAAGATTCAAAATGAAGGACCTTGGGATTGCCAGAAATGTTCTTGGGATCCGAATTACGGAAAAAGGTGATTATTTAACTATTGACCAATCTCAATACGCCAGAAGTATCATAAATGATTTTTCTATGTCTGGGACAAAGATATATTCTACTCCAATGGCTACTGATGCCGTTAGTGAACTAGAGCGGACACCAGGGAGATCTTGTATTAATGAAGAGTTGACAAGTTGCTGTAGTCTCCTCGGAAAGCTGATGTATTTGTATAATACAAGACCGGATTTAATATTCGAGACTCATAAAATGGCACAATACTCCCATAAGGCATGTCATAACCATTGGATAGCACTTCTCCGAATCTTAAGCTATATTGAAGGTACAATTGACTGTGGGATAAGATATGGACGTGGGGATGTTGAAACTCCTTACTATAAGGTAGATAGTAACATGAAAGTTTACTGTGGGAGTTCAAGATCTACTGATCTAGTCACATTTGCCGATTCAGATTACGCTGGAGACCCTGGTGATCGAAAATCTATTACAGGGGTCATCATGATGCTCAATGGAGGAGCAGTGGCTGCAATCAGTAAGAAGCAGACTAGCGTTGCAGCATCTACTACAAATACAGAATATATAGCAGCAAGTGAGGGAGCGAAACTCGCAATCTGGGGAGACAAGTTCATATCTCATATCACAGGAAATCTGGGCAATTCAACTCCACACCTATTGGGAGATAATAAAGCTTGTATACAACTCCAAGGTGGGGTCTCAAATACATCGAAAATAAAACATGTGGATGTGGCATACCACCACATAGTCGATGAAATAAATAAAGGTAAACTAGAAAGTAGATGGATAAGGGGTGATCATATGTTGGCTAATGGATTAACGAAACCTTTACCTGGACCAATATCTAAGCTGAAGAGAACTGCTATTGGAGTAGTCGAGGTTTTGGAAGCTGATCATCAGAGATAAGGGGAGTGTTGTGATTGGCAAGTATTAGCCAAGATAACCACGTGATACTCATCATGCACGGACATTTGTATATCTCTGCTGGTCAGTAGACTTAGAAGAAGTAAGACCTTTGATATATACAACTATCTAGATACAACAAGTATACCAAAAAGGGTTGACACGGCACTCAGCCATGAACAGTGTTACTTGCTGCAGGTAACGCAAGTGAGACTGAAAACCCGAGTTGGTGATGATTTAGTCGATTTCATAAACTATATAAAGAAGAAAAGGAAATCTAGCTACAACTAACGGGTAAGCATAACATTCAGCCCCTCAGTGATTGTCTTGATTGATGTCTTCGCCCTAGGCCAAATATTTGCCACCCAGCCACACATTATCAAGAATCACTACGTTGTGACACTGATCTGGCCCCTTAGCTAGCGGTGCCGTATTTTCCAGTTTTCCGTATCATTTCCTTAGTCTTATAATATGAATCCTCAATTTTCCCCTCACCGTCTATTAGAGCACAAGTTGAATTAATTATTAAAAATAATCTAATGTAGCTAGACTCTATCACGTAAATTCTAGAAGTCCTCTATAGTCATAGACTCAGATAGGACTATAATAAAAAAATCCAAAAAAAATCTATGAATCCTCAACAACACACTTAGGTATTCATCTAAGCTCAAAGAACGGTCGAGCCGTAACAGCAAGAAACACTTTTTTTCGAGCGTTTCCGAGTCTAGTGAGCGCCAGCGCACTCATCACATTTGGCTGCTTTTCCACACGACGCCTGCGTGTGTCCCCACTAGCTTTAATTGAAGCATTGCTTAGCTTAAGAACTAGGAGGCTACGCCTGGGTGATGTAAAACATGGCATCGAGGACGATGCTGTGAAGCACTATTTGTTCTTGCAAGACACTAAACAGAAGATCAGAACAACAGCTCTCCTCATATGACCATTCTTCTTTGCACATTGTATCTCTTTGCCATCATGAACCCACCTTATTCTATTGGTCTTGATACTTGAGGTTCTGACCTTTGTCGATTCGAAGGTTTCTCAATAATTTTGGAATTCTTGGCATTCCTACCCCCTCTATTTTGGTCCTTAGCGAAACTACGTAAACCTCCACAGGAAAATCTTTCCTTATGACTTGAGAAGGCTCAGTTTGGGTCATATTTAGAGCTGCGTTTCTCTGGGTCGCCAACTGAATAAACACCTGATTGCCTTTACTCCTTGATTGTCGAGCTGCAAATACACCTGAGATGTGATGTTATGGCCTTATCAGCAGCTTTGATAGCTGCATATCTCTTGCTTCCAACCGTACCCTAACTGTTGTTTTGGCAGTTGATGGTGTGACCCTTGGCACTTGCGTCCTTGTGGCGAGAAATCCTCAAACCGTTGAAGGAATCGCCATTCGGGCGGGATCCGCAAGACTCTTCTTAATGGCTTCACCGAGGGCCGAGATCCTTTCCCCCATGATTGCTTTGACTTCAAATCTTCCCATTCTTTCTTTTCAATGTTGAATGTAATCACAGATTCTCTTTGTACTTCCATCTTTAGATTTTCCGCATCATTGGCTTTATAAAAACTAATTAGCCTTAACTTCTTTGATAGGGGCCGCAAGATCTCAAGATTATTATCCATTGGTGCTGCTTTTGCATCGCTGCCTTCAGAACTGGATGCTATTGTCGCTGGTTGCGACTTGTCAAGAGCGGTAGATTTAGCCATTCCAGCTCCCACACTCGCCGTAATGTTTCGTAGAGATTTGAATGACGAAAACGTGTGAATAAATGATAAAAATGAGATTCACGATGTCAATGACTGCATCAAACTTTGGACAGCTTTTTGCGAGATTTAGTGTTTTTGATTCGAATATATTTAGATTAGCCTGATGGTCTTATGTGCTATACTGCTTTTAATTTTGACCTTAAAATTGCGCAGTAACTCTCTTCAGTGACATTATTATGGTATAAAGGATTTACATGTATAATAATTAATTTCGCCGCTTGATAGCCTTAACAGCCATTTCTTCTAATCCATCCTTCGCCTCACTATTGGGAAAAAGCTTTATTGACTCAACGGCTTGTTGAGCATACTGCTCAGCCAAAGCACGAGTACGACTAATACCATCACTCTGAAGTACAAGATGTCGGGCCTAAAAGCCATGTTAGCTGGATAATTGTACTTAGAGTTTCAGGTTCTTACTCGAGATACGTCACCTTCACATGCAAATTTTCGTCCAACCAATAATCCCAGCTCTTCATTGTGCTGCCATGCGAATAGAAGAGGCGCTGTCGCTAGTCCCAATTTTAAATCAGCGCCAGCCGGCTTTCCAAGCTCTTTTTCATCAACAGTGTAATCCAAAAGATCATCAACAAGTTGAAATGCTAGTCCTAAATTCTTCCCATATGTATACGCTGCGTCTACAGTTTTCGCATCCGCTCCTCCAAGCAAGGCTGTTGCACGACATGATTTTGAAATGAGGCTAGCAGTCTTCAGGTATGTCTTTTGGAGATAGTAAGATATTGTCTCCTCTGTCCAGACGGGGTTTTCTTCGTCTCGAGCAGTATTCTTAAGCTGCATGAATTCCCCCTCGACTAGATTGGCGATCACCGTCGCTAGTAGTTCAGTAACTTCGGCATCTCTTAATCTAGCGAGTGCAACGGACGCGCGGCCAAGTAAAAAGTCCCCAGCTAGCACTGCCATTTTATTTCCGAACTTGTGATTGGCAGAAGGATTCCCTCGCCGCGACACAGAATAATCTATTACATCGTCGTGTAGAAGTGAAGCTGTATGTATTAGCTCGGTTATCTCAGCGAGTCGACGTTGAGATGGTAAGATATCGTTTTCAGAAGTCAGCTGGGTGCTTTGCGCGTAAGCTGCGTCATCCAAGGGAATCGAGGGATTAACATCAGATAGTATTGACTGAGGAGATATACAGCGATCGACGTTTACACTTTGTTGGTTTTTGTTCATTGCTCTAGGAGTCAGGGCTGTTGCTCTTGACATCAGCAATACAATAAGAGGCCGGACATGTTTTCCCTCTGCCTGCGTGTAATATTTTGCCACAGTATCGAGTGATGGATGTCCAGATCCGAGCAGTTGCCTTATATTTCCTGTCAAAGACTTCATCTCCTCCGCCACCATTCGTAATGGGTCGATACTGATGACATCATTGTTCCCTGGGCGTGTTTTCGCATTAGAATATATGCTATTGGCAAATGATACAGCTTGCGAAAGTGAGTAATTCGACCTGCGAGAGGATTTATGATTTATAATGTTTATATGAAGCGAAGAAGGGGAACTCGGGATTTTTTGAAGTGTATCAAGGGAAATGATAAACCGCGAACTATTGTAGAGCCGTTTCGCTCTGATGGACCGGATGTTCATAGTCCCAACACTTCAGGAAAAAGATGGAATTGACCTCCTAGAAAATATTCCAAAGAGTCATTTGATTTTTGGGCTCACCTCGATTATCTTGTAAGTCGTATTATTCAATGGTGTGAGATTTTGACCATGCTGATGGCATGGTCCCGATTACATCAACACATCTCGGCTACACTAGAGCCTTTAATCAAAATCCTCATAGCGATATACGCCTGAGGCATTAACGTCATATTTTGGAAAATCAATCAATCATAGCTTCGGTTAACAAAAAGGCGTTAAATTTGAAATACGACAAGAAATAAGAAGTAGTTGTTAGGGATCGTCTTCATTCAGGATTATAATTTCTCAAGGCTGCACCTTCTGGATTTAGGATTCACATATATCTAAGTTTACTATCACTTTTACACTGAAGTGTACTTTTCAATCCCTAGAAGATTTCTGTCTCGAAGGACTGTAGTGGAGAGAGGGATATGTGTGTTTATTGTGCTATTTGAGTCATAGACTAACTAGCACATTGGGCTCCTCTCTGGCCCAGGCCACACCCTGCACAGTGCTCTTATCCTCTTTTGTTACTTGAAAAAACGTTGATATGTTGCCCGTGATGAATTGCCATTCAGCTCAGTGTTTACCCGTGGGGTTCGGCCACCTTTTCTAAGAAACCTTCTTTCCCTCCTCCAAACAAATCGTAGCGATGGATACTGTGTGCACGGGAAAAAGGCTCAAAAAACCTGCAGCCCCAGCCAGACGAGGCCTAGACACCGGGACCACATGAGGTGCGCATATTCATCTATATCTCCCTTCTTTGTAACAGTCCAGGACGACTTGATCGAATCCACTATCGCCGTATCTTGTGCTGGGTACGATCCGGAAACTCATCGGATGGCTTCTCCATGATCAGGGATAGGTGGTGATTAGGGCTTCGACCCCAACATCTGATCGCAAAAACGATGGGTAATCCTCATCTAAGTAAGGACTTTTTTAACCCAATCTCGGCTCTGCAAACTATACAGTGAGAGCTGGAGGTTCATGAAGGATAGTAATGACAGGTGTTGAGAATAGTCCCCCGATCCTCTAGTATTGAAACGGCTCGTTAGCGAAGAGATAGCCATCTTCGTGATTAGGAACGGGCTGATAGTGCACGAGAGTATATTAGATCGAACGAGGACAATAATAGCTTGTGGATTGATAATATAAATTGCAAATCTACAGAACTAAGACCACATCTTCCACCTAGCTAAGTTCTGCTACGGAGCCTAGCGTGAATAGATCAAGTTGTTAGACGCTTAATTATGAAGGCCTCCACGCTTTGGGCCAGTGTTAAAGCTGTAGTGGTATAAGTAGGGGTGCAAGGCATCCCTCCAAGTAGCATTTGTACTGAGCCACAAAAATTAGGGCCATTTTTCGCATCAATTTGTGTTTTGTTTTTCGTTTTATTTTACTATCTGAGTCTATGACTATGTAGGACATGCAGGTCTTCTCTGCCTACAGGCCAAGGATGCCCATGCTATCAGTTTATCCCTTCCTATGCATCCCATACAGCTCCCCTCAAACAGTACCGCCCCTCACAAGTCCTCATCCACTCATACACGTAGAGGAGCCCTTTGCCCTTCATTATATCCTCTCTCCAGCCAACGAAACGATGGCCATTTGCGGGTGTATGGCAGCCGGGAAAAATCGCAAAAACCACTGGGTACGGAGCTCTTCTAATACCGACATTAGGACTAAATCCGAAGACATAGTAACCCTTCTGATGCGTTCGAAGAGGCCGGCCAGCTGGGCGCTGCAGACTTGTGGGTGCCTCGGGAAATTCACACTCTGCCTTTCTAGCCTCCTTCCAACTCCTTCCCGAAGGCCGTACTGAAATTTCAAAAAATTCTTGAAAGAGCGTGATTGCTATTTGGTAGCTTAGTCCAACTTCTTTTGTACCGTCCAGGGCCTTGGGGAGTGCCGTTGACTCATCAACGATTGAAGTGCTCCTGGCTAATTAGCCGAAACCTCGGTCTTGACGCACACAAGCTTTCCGAGGTCGAAATATCTCGAAAATATCAGACCCATAATTCCCCCCGGAGGTCTCTTCCTTATATCTTTCCACGCCCCAGTCGCTTGTTCATCCTCAAGTTGTTAGTCTCATTAGAGCACCATCCCCACATAAACCATGACCCCAAATTTGTATATTATGACTTAATCTGGTCCTTGTGGGCATACGTAGCGTCGTAAATTTGTAGTGGGTAATTGCTGGAAATTAATGAAGCAAGCTCCTGTTAGCAATTGGAGTAATGCCTTTATCGGTCGTTGAGGCGAGGTGGTGTGTGGAGAACTTAAGGTAGATGACTCTCGTGAGAATAACAAGGCCGATATTGATGAGAAGTCGCCGATTATAGATATGTATTTGTTTGCTTTCGACTTTGATCCGGGTGCGATTCTTCTTGGCTACCCCAGATATGCAGAGCAAACTAAGCGATTACACCGGCGCTAGTGGAAGGTGAAGAATTCGTCTTTGCCGGCGATCGCAATGCGGTTGAAGAGAAGAATGAGAGCTAGTAATTATTGAGGTAGATAGAGAGGATATTATTGGCTTATATGAATTTCACTGTAGTGTAGCCTCGCCTCCTGAAGGGTAAATTGGACAAATTAAGACAAAAAATAGAAAGATATGGAAGTATCCACCAGAAGATTTCCTCATTCAAACATTACATTTCATGGACACTTGCATGGGTCTTATGGGCACCAAATCAGGATGATAAAATAAAATTCGAAATCAAAAAGTAAGAACACTATTTGAAATCAGGATCTCTCACACACCATCAATACGAAACGGGTCTCGACATAGGATGTCTTTAAAAATCATAAAATATTACTGATGCAGACAGATCGGAAATCCAACAAATTTATGTACTCATACCTCACTAGTGCTAGAGAGCTCTGAAGATGGATTAAATTTTGTAGTTACTGAGGGCTACGGCAGAATCCAGCACATGGTTAGCTCAAATATTGGACTGGGAGTTCTAGCGTAGAATTTTGAGCTGGAGGCTATAATTAAGGCAATAGAATTTGCAAGTCTCTATATTCTACTTGGACAAAGCTTTCACATTCTTATAAAGAATCAAGCAGCTATAATCATACTTAAATGCCTCAGATAATCCAGGACAAACATGTCAGCTCCGAGCATCAATAGCCGGAAAGTTATTCGAGGCAAATACACTGTCAGAGACTGATGATAGAAACAGTTCATGGGTTAAAATAGCTGCTATGGGCTATAAATGGAAAATGTAGTAGCAGCATGCGTACCCTCTAGGGACATCAATTGCTCTGATTACAGTGATGTTTATGCAGATTGGGCAGAGCTATTGTAAAGCGCCACGTCATGACTTCCGTCTTCTATTGTACTTATTACTCGTCCTAATTTCTCTTGTCCTTTGTCCTTAGTTGTTGCTAGAATTAGGGACTCATCCCTTCAACTTTTGCCGGCCTTGTCATGTATAACTCTAACTTCTCAGTAATCCTCCCAAATGTTCTCTTAGGCGCACTCGAGTTTGATAGACTCCGTCATTCGAATACATTGGATACTAGGATGTTTTTAGATCCCAGGGATTGAAGAGGCAGACAGATTGATTTAATTTTCTAAAGCTTTTTAGAACCTTGGTAAAAGTGCTGGATAAAGAACTTCACGTTGATGTTGCGAATAATCTTTGTTATGTATTGGAATTTAATATGTTAAACTTTGGAGATTTATTCTGTGATACTTTGATTGGCCCCTACGAATTCCATTAACGTGATTGATGTTTGCGATGTGAAGTACAGTCTAGATTATACGTGAACGAAAGAAAACTTGGTAAACTTAAAGTGTTGTGAAAATATTGTGGAAGGCGATACAAAGTTGGGGTCATGGTTTATGTGGGGATGGTGCTCTAATGAGACTAACAACTTGAGGATGAACAAGCGACTGGGGCGTGGAAAGATATAAGGAAGAGACCTCCGGGGGGAATTATGGGTCTGATATTTTCGAGATATTTCGACCTCGGAAAGCTTGTGTGCGTCAAGACCGAGGTTTCGGCTAATTAGCCAGGAGCACTTCAATCGTTGATGAGTCAACGGCACTCCCCAAGGCCCTGGACGGTACAAAAGAAGTTGGACTAAGCTACCAAATAGCAATCACGCTCTTTCAAGAATTTTCTGACATTTCAGTACGACCTTCGGGAAAGAGTTGGAAGGAGGCTAGAAAGGCAGAGTGTGAATTTCCCGAGGCACCCACAAGTCTGCAGCGCCCAGCTGGCCGGCCTCTTCGAACGCATCAGAAGGGTTACTATGTCTTCGGATTTAGTCCTAATGTCGGTATTAGAAGAGCTCCGTACCCAGTGGTTTTTGCGATTTTTCCCGGCTGCCATACACCCGCAAATGGCCATCGTTTCGTTGGCTGGAGAGAGGATATAATGAAGGGCAAAGGGCTCCTCTACGTGTATGAGTGGATGAGGACTTGTGAGGGGCGGTACTGTTTGAGGGGAGCTGTATGGGATGTATAGGAAGGGATAAACTGATAGCATGGGCATCCTTGGCCTGTAGGCAGAGAAGACCTGCATGTCCTACATAGTCATAGACTCAGACAGGACAAATAAAGAATGAAATGAAAACGTAGACTCATAGTTCCGGGAGAATAGAATCAAGTTGATTTTACTGAGTTATCTTTTTCTTGAATTTCAAATACACCTAACCTGCGATTGGTTAGAAACCCAGATACCTAACATAGTCTGCTTTAGTTCCTTATCACGTTTGAACCTTCCATTAGAAAAACCAAAATTTAGACCTAAAGAAGATGGAAAAGTCAGAGGCTGCCACACTCACCAACATCAGAGAGAGATTATAGTTCTATGTTTTTCTCTGGTAACATAACAGTACTTTTCTCACTTAAAACCCCATTTCACAATACCGAATTAATTCTTATGCATCTTTTAGTTTGCTGCAGTCCAATCCTTTCATCAATTTAACACTGATATATTGAATTTAAACAATCAGACTACGAGCTAATTGTTAGAAGTTTTCATGGATAAACGTAGTGGAAGCTGGGATGGTGTCTCATGGGGAGCTCAATGCCAAAACACATCTCGGTTTTATATTGAATTTCTAAACAATTAGGACAGACTCAGGAATATAGGGTCTTTTGATAGGGATTGCGTAGTAATACTGTTCGAAACAGAACTTAGGGCTGTCCTATCATCTGATGCACATATATAACCAGCGTGAAGGATTATTCTTCTTCACGCAATGTCTTCTGTTTGTATTAATACCTAATATTCACATACTTACTTCTTCTCTAAAGAAGACCGCCGTTATTGTATCAACCTCACCTATTACTCACTTTACACTGAGCTCTTCCGTGAACCCTATACCTTACGCTGACTTTATACCTCCTCATAGGAATCACCACTATACTTCACACCTATACCCTACTTCTACCCTACATAATACTGATAACACAGTGCATTGAGAGAAATTCAGAATCTGTCCATTTCAGGTTTCTCTACGATTAGAAAAAAATAAGATTCTCACACATGATTCACGACCTTACGGCCAAAACTATTGACATCCCATTTATTGAGCGTATTTGATGCGTATTCTAGACTGGTGCACGATATGGTGTAATATCCTTGAGATATATTTCGATCCACTGAACTTATTCCCACACTCATTTTATACACTGTCATACGATTCATTGTCATTGTTAGAGTGTGGAATGAGGACCGGTAGATGGTACATAATGTGGACTTGGATCGCTGAGGACACATGTATATGAATTATCTAAGAATCACAATGACAGAACGATAAACTATATTATATTATTTTATTTCTCTATAGTAAATTATATATTCTCCTGTTTCATATCATTATCATTCTGCTCGTAAATCGCACTCTAATTCTTTGAGCCGCCTAACTCATAGAGCTCATATTGATTTTCAAATACTACGCTTGTTAACATCAAATTAAGAATTAGATATTTACTAATAATCCAATAAGTTTATAATCACGAAATCAGCGTCAAGACAGAAATATACGCTCTGTATGAGATTGCTTATGATGCAAGCAATTAAATGATTCATCATATTGCTTAACAGACGCGGAAAATTTTCCAGAATGGGCGACAAGCAGCCCTGGAAGTGAGGAGATCAATCGATAGATGTCATATGGACGGATAGGTAGCTGAGAGTGTGAATTTAATTTGTTTGCACGAAACATACTATTTTTTGGCCTCTAGTTTGTAAAATCAGTAGAACTTTTTATTTATATTTTCAGCTTCTCGTGTCTTTCTGCTTTCTCCGCCGACGAGCTCGAGATTCATCAGTGAATTTCTTTAAATCAATATCGATAGCATCAGCGGAGCTATTTCTTAATTCGGGTTTTAAGTTTGACTTCACCACCCATGTCTCAAGAATCTCTTTTTTCTCAACTATAGATTTCTCATTTTGTTTCGCTGTACCAATCCTTCGAAGGTATCCTGAATAGACAACGACTTCCGCTATACCAACTAAAATGCTCCCACCAAGGCTCAAAGCAAGTCGTACAGGAGTGCTCAACCATCTTGCTGCTATCCAAATAGCAGCTCCACAGGCAATAATGCTTAAAAGAATGTTCAGTATAAGGGTGACTTGTCTATTGACATCGGCATATGTGACCTCATCTTCTGTATCGGATATTGGAAAATTGTTAGAGAATGGGTGAGCGGCTGAGGCATTAGTAGAATTCAAAGAAGGGGGCCCTGTACGAGACTGATGATTTACCATCTTTTCGTAACTGCGAGCTTCCTCCTGTCGGCGAAGGCGTGCCATTAAGATTTTGTATTCTGAAGTCTGTGTTTAAAGTCAACTGCTTTTTACCCTTACATTTCTGATTTTTTTAGATTCTTAACTTACTTTTTCAGGTTCCACTGGCGGAGGCGGCATGTGAATTCTCGATCCCCTCAGTAGATCTTCAAGACAATACAGCTGATTTTCACAAGATCTTAAAGCCATAGAAAGCGCAATTATTTGGTGATGTGAAATTGGGTTGCCGACCTTAGGCTCTGAGAGATCCGGTTCCATGTATATTTTCTCTTTATGCAGCAAATTTTCACTTCCAACTCCAGGATCGATTTTATCTTCCTGCTGTCCCAAATCATTACTTTCAGATGCTAACACGGTTTCTGCAGAGTTACTATCACTCTGCTTCGAAGAAATTTTACTTTTTTCGAATTTTTGGGATTTGGATAGACTATTAAGTGCCTCAACAATAGTTGATGTGATTGAAAGATTGACCATTTTGAAGAGCTTGCATGCGTACTGAATCTAAATTTTGACCCTCCTCGAAACGACTGGGAGCTTTTCAGGACCCCGCTTGTTTTGTGATAATTGTATTGGCATGCTTTGTACTGGAGTTCAGTGAAAATGATTATGTAAGACCGGACACCTTGGATGAGAAATCTAAATTTCAAGTGACACAACTTTACGCCTGATGCGATCAGGGCCACTGTCGTATGATTAAGCAGTTGACTAGTTGGTGGTGTCTATGAGAGTCTAGATATCAGGTGTTGATTAGTGTGGTATAAATGGACAACTTCGCCAGCAGTGACGATTCTTCCACGTTCCACTGGCGCCGGTGTAATCGCTCAGTATGCTCTGCATATCTGGGATAGCCAAGAAGAATCGTATCCAAATCAAAATCGAAAGCAACTACATGCATATCTCCATTTGATGACTTCTCGATAATTCCTCTCTAACCATTCTCATTTGAGTCCTCAGCCTCTGTCTACCCACGCATCATCTCGCCTCAACGCCCGATAAAGAAGATGCTCCAATTTCAAACGATACCATGCCTCATTCATTACCTGTTGTAATTAAGGGAGTAACATGACTGCATTACAATAAACTGTTCACATTAGAATAATGTGCACATGCGCCATGGGATATGATTGACCTAAATCATCACTCATTGGTATGACATAGTATTTCCCATTAGATTCCTAATGGTATCTATTGGCGCTAGGATCTCTTACATCCTTCCTTTCTCGGTTAGACAAGGACAGATGTTGGATCATTCACTAGTGTGCAGAACCTCCTTATTCATGTATGTAGAAAAAGGTCCTGTCACGTAGATAACTTAAGCAATTCATACAATAGTAAATTAAAACAATCTCCATATTATTTACACGCTTGAGAATACTAGGGAATATCCTCAATTTCGTCCACTGATCCAAGTCTTAAGAGTATAACTCACGAACTTTACTTCTCTTAAAGCCATAGCTACCTCCTTCCATACCTTCATCCTAACGGTACGTCATTCCAGCTCAGCATAGCCTTTCAATATTACCGACCATCACCCACTACAAATTTACGACGCTACGTATACCTGCAACGAGGAAATTAAGTCATAATATGCAAAGCCTGGGTCATTATTTATGTGGGACTGTTGCTGGAATAAGGCATTACATCTCGAGAGAGAATAGGCGACTGAGACGTGGAGCGATACGGGGACTAGGTCTCTGAAGACAATGCTGTGACTGACATTTTCGAGGGGTTTTCAACCTTGGAAAAATTGTGTGCGTCAAGACTGTGGTTTCGGCTGCCTGGACCCTAGACACCCACTCCGGCAAAGAGCCACATGGATCCGGGAACACAATCGACGAGTCTCCCGTCTTGCGGGCTGGGTTCTCCAAATTCCGAACACTGGAACGATCGACCCTCTGATCCAGCCACCATGGCTCAAAAGTGAGACACGGTATAATAGTGTAAGGCGAGTTATGCACCCTCGCATTAATCTCCTTTCTGGCACCCCTTTCAGATATCTAGCAGTCTATACAGATGGCGCTCGATCTGAGATAGCAGAATCGCCCAGGACAGGCGGTGGAATCGTTATCTTTCAAGCTGGCCAGATGGTTTACCGCGAGAGTCTGTCCCTTGATTCGACGCTGTCTCCTTTCGACACAGAAGTGACCGCCGTGAAAGAAGCCCTCAAAGCTGCGCTTTCCCTACCAACAGCACGTTTCTCAGAAAATATTTAGATACTCATAGATAACCTGGAGGTAGCTCGCCTTTTATTTCAGTCCCCAATTTGCTAGTCACAAGTTGTTTTTCAACAAATACAGGCCCTCCCAAGACTGGCCTCTCCGCACCCGGCTCCCACACATCCCTCCCGGAAAAGTCAAGGCTTATTGAATCCCAAGCAACTCTGGCATATTGGGTAACGTTTTGGCCGATGCCTCTGCCCGGGAGGGGCTTTCAAAACCCCCGCCTATACCTCGTGGGTACGTTTCTTTTGATACCGCGAAAAATCGCATCAAAGCAGAAGTATCGACAGCTATGAAAGACTACTGGGGCCGAAATGCCCCAGTTTCCTATAGGGAGCTTTCCATCGACTCATACTCTCGTCATCCTAAGGAACTCTCTCTAGCCAGGCCGTTTCTCTCTAGACTATACGCTGCCCGCTCAGGATATGGTGACTTCGCAGAATACCACCGCTGTTTCAATCACGAGGGCGCTAACCTTAATTGTGGCTGCGGACAGCTCAAAGCCCCATTGCACTTTCTAGAGTGCCACCTAACCACCTAACCACCCACAAACCCCCTCGAGTTCCAGCATCTTCAAGGGACCCAAAGAAATTTTTGCTAGGAACCTGAGAAGGGGTCCTGCGTGTATCAAAGTGGCTTTCTCTCTCTAAGCTTTACATATAGACCCGCCCTAGAAATTCCAGAGAAGAAATGAACAGGTCTTAAACTCTGCCTCAACTTTGAGCCTTACATTATTAATGGATGATGCGGTATTTCTGAATGGATCTATTAGTAGTATCCTGAGAGTGGCTGTAATACATCAAAGGAGTAATGAGCCTTAGGGACTGGCTGTAAAAGTGCAGGTGCTACGCTACACGCAATCATGTAGTTAGAGAATTGCCCTGCAAACCTAGTTAAGAAGTAGCAAGGGCAAAGCTACCAGGGCAGTAAGCACTGGCGTCCATGCCTCTAGGTAGCTTAGCGGTTAGTAGGGACCTAAGTCAAGCTTGGGGCCCCGACGGACGGAAAAAAGAAAACAAAACAAACAAACGCACAATTCGAGGATTTCCAAGTTGCCCATTCCCACCCTATTATCCATCTCACCCATATATCGAATCGAATTGTAATTGTTTGCCATCGGCGGCATTTTAAAATGCTTCCGACGCGTAGAACGCACCAAAACGCGATCAGCGGAATCACCAAAGATCGCGTCATCAAATCCTACAAATTGCATGAATCTATACTAACTCTTGCAAGACAAAAACTTACGGAAAAAGGATTAGAGGCCTCCGAGAAAATTTTAGACTACATCGAGGCTGCGCTCGAAGCTAACGTTCGCAATATACCCGAGGTAGAGATGTTGGACGTCGAAGTCCAGAAGTTGAAATCTCTATCAGATTCAAGATGGACCTCCTCCAGCCTAGAAGACGCGGAAAAAGCCCCAGGGCCCACAATAACTCCAAGAGAAACCGTCGCAGCACCCGAAAAGCGCGCTACGGTTCCAGCACTACCGCGATTTAAGGAAGTAAGGCCCGCGAAAAGGGCTGATGTACCTTCAACCAACGCAGCAGGAGCCGAAAACTCTTCGCTGGCCCCACCGCCTACAGCGATAGAAGCAGCAGGCAAAGAAAAAAATACCCTCCAGAATTGCTTGCAGCGATTGAAGCGGAGGAGCGCAGGGCAAGGCAAAAAGCCGCGCAATTTAATATCTGCTCGACGGCTATTAGCAGTGTCGAGGCAGCTCTTCTACCGCTCTCCGCCGTTGAAGATAAAAATTTTGTAGACTCGATCAAAGTCTACCTAAGGGCAGCAATCGCACAATTCGTGGCAGCCGGGCCAAGCACTACTCCGCCAGTACTACCCCAACGGCCAAATGTCGCGACTCCCCCTGCGATCGTCGTCCCTGTAGCCATTCCTCGGAATATTTCAAAGACTACTGCAGCTCTCCCACTCAGAAGCACCTGGGCCACTGTCACCAGGGCAGGACACCAAAAGTCAGGAGCACAGGCTCCTGCAAACATCACCTCGGTTCCGGCTATTCCATCTGCCAGGAAACTGGAGAAGAAGCCAGCAGCAGCAACAACAGCATCGAAAGATGACCGACTCTTCCTGCGTCTCGATGCAAACCACGAGTGGAGACAGCTATCTCCGGCTGGCGTTCGCGAAGCCGTGGCTAAACAAACGCAATGCACCCCTTCCGATGTCGACCAGGTGCAACGCGTTCCCACTGGCTTTGCCATCCGTGCCAAAAACCCGGACGCAAAAACTCGACTGCTGGAAGCCTCCAGTACCTTTACACAAGTGGAGGCAAAACTAGAACCACCAAGTGATCTAGTTTCCCTCCGGATCGCAACGGTTCCAGTTGCAGTTTTCGGCTTAGAAGGACGAATCGAAGTCACTGCCGAAATGGTGGCCGCCGAAATCCTCCGGGTAACGAACTGCACTCCAGACCGAGTGAGGATACACGGAAATACTAAGCTCGGCGCTCCTTACAGATCCTGGGCGGCCTTGTTTCCCAGGAATGCTAGCCCAAAGCCTGGATTCCGACTCTTTGACGACTCAGGAGTAGCGACAATCCAACGAAACCGCCCTGCCATACAGCAATGTAGGCGATGTCTCGGCTTCCACGCCACCCGTGGGTGTTCTCGCGCGCCAGCCTGCTGGAACTGCGGATCCACTATGCACTCGGCATTCGAGTGTAAAGCGGCCTCTAAATGTCGAAACTGCGGAGGCCCCCATCAATCTGGCAGTCGAGACTGTCTAGCTCGTCCTAATAGGTCTGGCCCAGCTACCAGGGAGCAACTTGTGACGATTCGACAAGCTGACCAACGCGAGTACCAGGCCGTCGCTCGAGCCAAAGCTGCTACCAAGGTCGCAGAGGCGGCTACAGCTGCCGCTAGATCGACAAGACCAACTTCTCCTGCTGCTGTTAAGGACAATCTATCGGCAGACACAGCAATGACTGAGGGTTCGGGCTTTGGGGCCTTGAACCCTAAAGAAGCTTTGTGAAGGGCGCCCTACGGGCCCCTTCCCGCCCCCCTCCTACACTAAGTTTTATGTCAATAAACGTAGGCAGGAGTGTCCCAACCCACAACATTGCGCTCTCTAGAGCTTACGAGCTAGGCGTAGATGTTGTGCTAATTCAAGAACCGCGATGGAACTTAAAATCAAAAGAAACCATATCACACCCAGGGTATATCTGTCATACACAGCACGGAGGTGTAGATGTCAGACCGAGGGCTGTGATATACACCCGAAAAAACAAAAATGTGATATCAGCGGAGCAGTTATTTCCTTGTCTCACACCCACTGGTGATTACTGCTGGGTAAAGGTCAATGAAATCACGTTCTTCAACGTGTATAAAGCTCCTAACAACCCGACTGCTATCCTGCCACTGATAAACTGGAATCCGACCCCGAAGGTGATTGCAGCTGGGGACTTCAACTCGATGCAAGCTGCCTGGCAACCAGGCGCTACTAAGCCGCATGGACAAGGTAATGAGATAGAAAAGTGGGCGGAAAACTTCCATCTTTCTTGCCTTATCATTGGAGAGCCCACTCACAAAGCCGGTAATACCTTGGACCTCGCTTGGACCAATATTTCTGGAGCCCGGGCCTGGGTCGATCGTGAGGAGTGTATGACCAGCGACCATCTTCCAATCCGCGGAATCGTACCTGTGGCAACCGTCACCAGGGGCCCAGTGCCAGCAAAGAACAGAGTACCCAAGGAAAATCTACCAAAGTTTGCGCGGGCCATTGCAAAATGGGTACATCCAGCTTTAGATCTGTGTACAACAGAGAAAGTGGATGAGTACGCCCAAGAGATCTGCTTCCATCTCTCGGAAGCCATCAAAGCGACTGGAACAAGGGTGAGAAAGGGGAGCGGAAAATCTGCACCGTGGTGGACTCTCAGCTGCAAATCCGCACACGTCGAATACCGAGCCGCGACATCACTCTCACAGCGGGATATCTGTGCGAAGAAGCTTCGTGAGACTATCACAGCCGCTAAGAAGGAACATCAGACATGTCAAGTCGAAGTGATGACAACTCCGGCAGATATATTCAAGCTGATGCGCTCGGCCAACCACAGACAGGTCAGACCTCCTCCGCCGCTCAACTATAACGGATCCTATAACACCGACCCATCTGAGCGAGCCACAGTTCTCCGTGATGCTCTCCTTGCACGTAACCAAGCATCGGACGATCTTCCTACGTGCATTGCTCCCAGCAATAACCGGATACCCTGGGAAGACGAAATATATAAGGAAATGGTTAAACTGTCCTTTGCAGCTATTGATGGTGACATGAATTAAGATGATGATTGTGATTGAGATAGATTTCTATATAGTTAGTAATACATGATATGCTCAGGTTCATATACCTCGAGCCAAGCAACCAGTTTATGTTCCTCTAGATCTAGATTCATCAGAATAATTACTTACTCAGTAAAATTCTCCAAGTCTCAGTTGTGTGTTTAGGATCTTGATTAGGTTTCTATTAACTAGTCAATGATGTTTCTCATATCACTGAGACATAGTCATGGTTGATACAACAGGTACAAACGATGAATCGTGTCTGTACATGACGTTGTGATATAGTCATGATCGTCTGAACAATATCAATTCATGAATGAATCATGTCTCTACATGACAAAATAACAGAAAATGAAGTGCGAACTTGCACCATCGGCTGCACCGAGGCGGCCCCAGGAGCAGACGGAGTCACAGTCGAGCTTCTTGAGGCCTGCTGGAAGACGATCAGACCGTGTTACGCAGCTCTTTAGAGCTTGCATACGGCTCGGCACCCACCCATCTTGCTTCAAACTTGCAGAAGTGGTGCTATTGGAAAAGCCAAATCGGGATCCAACTTCAATCAAAGGTTGGAGACCAATCGCTCTACTCTCGTGCCTAGGCAAAGGATTAGAAAGACTTCTTGCCAAGCGAATGGCGCACCTCGCAATCACTCATGATGTGGTTGGCCATCAACAATTCGGTGCGCTCCCAAAGCGATCTGCA